AAGTTCGAAATGAACATCCCCGCCGTCCGAATACCTGGCACTTTTGTCCGTGGGGTTGGGGGGTGGTTGTAACTAATTCCATCAGGGTTCGTGGCTCTGAACACAACCTGGGCACCGATACCTGGCAGTTTGGGGCCATCTACGGGGAATGCATCTCTGCGCGCCAACGCTCGCCCGCCGGAGCGCTGAGTATCCGCTCCTATGCTCTGGGACCAGACCGTCCGGCCGCCAGCGAGGAACCGCCAGTACCCTCCGCCACGCGCCGGGCGGTTCCCCGGGCCAGGAGCCCTAGGCTCTCGCTCCTGCACGAGCAGATAAATCCTACTTCTCGTTCAAGCCCTGTTGTCTTTACTCACACTCCAGCAGGTAGCAAAGTAATCCCGGGAGCAATCCCCGCAGAAGAGAAACTTCTGGCGCCCGCAACTTGGGGCTGCGAGTGGGAAGGTGGGGTGTCTCCTGCCTCCCGCCCTCCCTGGTGACCCTCGATCTGCCCGGGGGTCCTCCTTGGGTCCTTCCAGGAAACCCTGCCTTTCAGTGCCTGCGTGCCTCCTAGTCTCCCGCATGACCACCCTTCCAGTCCGTGCGCTCGCCGCTGGCCCTCCGGAGTCTGCGCGCGCGCCAGCCCTGTGAGCACACCCGAGGGCCGCGCGCAGACCCCCAGGCGGCTCAGAGGCTTCGCGCGCTGGACGAATGGCAGTTGTCTATGGCGGGAGAAACATGCTCGGCCTCCGAGTTGCCAGTGTCGGTTCGCATTTGCCCCACCGCGCCCAGAGAGCTGAGGTGGCAGCCCCTCATCTCTTGCTCCTCAGGCCAGAAACCCAGCCCTGAGCTAAAGTGGCCTTACCTCTGTGGCCCAGACGTGAGTTCAAGCCAGCCCTCTGCTGCATGTCCTTAAGTAATTGATTCAATCTCTCTATGCCTTGGTTTCTGGCGTAGATATTGTGCATAACATTGTAACCACCCTGAGGAGTCCATGAAAAAAAAGGTGAAGAGCTTAGCAGAGCGCCTCGTGCTCAGTAAACGGATGCTGGCCACTGGCATCAGTTACTGCCATATACCCTCTTTGTCCAGAGACTGTAAGCTACTGGAGGACAGGAACCCCCAGCACCTGGCACAGTGCCTGGCACAGTAGGTAGGAGAGGAGTGGCTGGCTGATACTCAAGTCATGGGGGAGAAAGGAGAGCGAGGGATTGCTGGAAATGCGGGAATCCGAGACAATCCCTGGGCTGAAGGAGAGCCGAGGGCTGAGGATGCGGCTGGGGGCCAGCGTGGGCCGCGGAAGTCACAAGACCAGGGATCACCAACCGTGTGCACCGCTATTTTCTGCCGCAGTCTCAGCACCCGAGGCCCGACTCCCGGTCTCTGAAAGATTTTCCTGGGGATTTTTTTTTTCCCCAGTTGGTATGTTTGCATTGTGCCCTCTCAGTTACCGCCGGGTCTATTTAGGAAGAAATGTGGGATCCGAGGGCATAGACCCCAGAGCCAGGGACCTTGTCTGCCTAAGGGCCGAAGGAGGGGAGCTGAAGACCTCTCGCGCGGAAAAAACCAGGTTGAGAAACTAGCAACGCGACAGGATCGGGCGAGAGGTGTCCTCAAGAAGTTGAGATCTGCCGGTACGGAAGGGGTCATCTGATCGGTCGCGGAGAGGCGGAACCGAGATTCTCAAAATCCAAACCTCAGCCCTGCTCCAATCTCACAGAGTCTTAGGACGAACCTCAGCGGGATTCGAAAGGGCAGGCTCCCGGAGCTAGGGAAGGATGGAACAGAACAAGGGCTCGGATCCCGAGACTCCAGATAAGACAGTGCGCAGTGGGCCACAGGGGCGATCCGGCAGCAGTGCGTACGGTCTCCCATTAGCCTAAGTGTAGGAGGCCTGTCCCTGCTGGCGCCACTGCGCGCTCCCTGCCGGCAGGCGGCATGTGCTTCCCAACAACACGCCGCAACTCCTTGGCGTAATGGTGGTGGTGGTTGGGTGCCCTCTAGTCGATTCCGACTCATAGCGACCTCAGGTGACAGAGTAGACCTGCCCCATGGGGGTTACTAGGTTGTATGGGGTTTTTTAGTTTAATTTTTAGGGGAGCATAACCCCAGATCTTTCTCTCAAGGAGCCGCTGGGTAGGTTCGAACCGCCAGCCTTTAGGTTTAGCAGAGGTGAGGCCAGCCGATTAGGCCGGCAGAAGCAGAGCGCTGTGCCAGCCAGCCTTGGAATTCTTAGCCAGGCGAGGATGGGGCGCGGTGCTGGAAGCCGGGTACACAGTCCTCCTGGGCAGCTCTCTGTTGGAATCCCAGAGCTGTTCAGCCAAGACTGACAGTAAATACCCCAAAATTGCGCTTTGACAACCGAGAAAGGCAGCTGCTTGGGAGGGGGCATCTAACTCAAAGAAAGCCGTTTTTGCCCTAGAGTCTCAGTGTCCATCTATACAATGAGAATGATGATTCTGTCCCTATCTGACGCAAGGTTTGTTAGCAGTTCCCACGGGAGAAGGCAGTGAGACTTATGACCAGATTAAGCGCCCTGGTCACAGCCAGGTAAGCATGGCATGCAAAGCAGGTCTCAGCCGATAGGACTGGAAAGACAAGGCCAGAGCAGAGACCCTGAGTTTCCCTCATTATCCACCTACCTTCCTGTAGGTCCCCTCAGAGTAAAATAATAGCTGAGAAGGAAAGAGAAAACCTGAACGCAGAGAAGGAGAAGAAGGTACCTGAGGTGGAGGAAGACATCTGAGCCTCATGCAGACACCATTTTCACCCACCTCAGTCTAGGCCACCTTCTTCCCACTTCTCAGAGCCTCTCAAATCACTTTGGAGAGGGGCATCACCAGCTCTGAACTGTGGGCAAAAGTCAATCCCCCCCACACACACACTGTCTTTCTGACTTGGAACCACAGTCAGGAAATCATTTGGATATTGTGGTGGATAATGTGGAAAATTCAAATTCGTAGTCAAATAATCAGAACACCTCAAGACTTTTCTTGATTCTCCAAATGTAGTTATTGGCTCTGCTCACTGGGGGGGGGTGTCTCTCTCTCTCTCCCCCCCCTCCCAAACACACACAGTTCCTTGTTTTCAGCACAAAGGGGACCAGAATCATATTGCCTTCCAGAAGGCTGCCGTTTTCCAAATCCCAGTCCACCCAGACTTAGGCTGCTAATGACAAACTCACCACCATGAAAATCTCTGGAGGACATGCTTAGGGTGGGAACAAAGGAGTAGAGAGCCTAAGGCAAGGCCACAGCAATTAGGTTTCTTAAAAGTTTATTTTCAGGGGTTAAAAAGGTATCTATTTTAGGTTGAAACAGCTATTTAGAATTTGTAGCCAATGCATGAAAATTCAATCCTGATTAAATATCAGAGCTTAATTTTGTAACTGGGACCCAGAAAACAGCAGACAGAGCTCAAGGCAATATCATCCTGTGGTGGTGAGCCCCCAGGAAGAAGCACTTCCAATAAACTCACCCTTGCCCATGTAAGGGGCTTCCTTAACCAAAAGGAAGACTGGGAACTAAATCCTGGCACTCTTGAAGGAGGGATTATCTGCGTCATTTTTCCGCTAAGAGTGAATTGTGTGGATGCTGGGGTTTTAATTACACGCTTGCTTTTTCTGGGGAAGACGACCAAATATCATGTTTTTCAAAGTATCAACTTGTTTTCCTTTAGGCAGTTGTTGTAACAAGTTCTTTCAGCGACATATTATGTTTTTAGCAAAGGGTGCTTCAGATGGCGCGCACTAGCACAATTTTGTGGCTTTTAATTACTATTTTGTTCTTTTGGGGGGTTTCTGAGGCTGGCGCCTCCGCCTGATTAGACGGTCTACTGGCCCGCCGCAGCTGTGTTCACTGCCCACCAGGTGGCGCCACTAGCCAAGAGCTGCCAGGGGACCTGCAGACTTGGCGTCCACGACCACGCCTATCCCCCACCGTTGGGTCAAGATGCCCAATCATAAAGTTACAGACATATACAGGAGATCTCCACTTCGTATTTTTAAAAAGAAGAAATTGCAGTAGAAGGGAAGAACGGGGCTCTAACGCACAAAAGTGTAAGGATAAAACTTTTTATATTGGTGTAAATTCGAGACATGATAAATTCAGTGTCGAAACTTCTCTCACCTAAATATTACCCAACTTCTTAAAAAAAAGAAGAAGAAGAATTGGCAGTTAAAATAAATTTTGAAGCCCAACTGGTCAGTCTGGTCTAGCTTTCTACCCTAGCAGGAAATCTCTGGGATCACTTTTCAGCTGTCGATTAGCCATCAAATATACATAATTACTCAGAGCCTCTGCGTGTCAGCAAAGTACAAGGGAAAGTGTTTTCAAATCAGTTATTAACTGTAATACCTTTGAGTGTATATAGCTTCTCTCTCAAGCAACAAGGAAAAAACCGTTTAAATAATATCTAATTAATTGTCCTAATATCCCTATGGGTTGGTTAGGAAGCCAGTAATTATTATTATTATTATTATTATTATTATTATTATTATTATTATATGTGGTTTATGGATCATTTAAATCAACTGACCATGTGCCGAGTGGTTGACAAGAGTAAATGCCAGACACTTTGAGGAAAAGCGGAGCAAGAGTTGGCCCAGCTCTCGACACCGCTTCATTTAATCAACTGTGTTTGAAAACTGACCTCGGACATGCATGTACGCGTCACTGGAATTGGTAGGCACTTGCACGGAGAATGGGATGGGAGATAGCGCTGCCTCTTCCTGAGTCTCGGTCTTCACAGCTTCTGTCCTCCGACTGCCGGACACCGAGACATCACCCCCGCACTTCACCCCCCAGCGCCTCGCCTAGCTGCTCCCATTCAGCCGCAGCCTTTCTGCACCCGCGACCGCTGCAGAGTGCCAGGGGTGACACTCACCCCCCAGCCGAGGGTTCCTAGGAGCCCGCAGTCCCGTGGCCTGGCGCTTCTGATTGGCTGTTGCTAGGTGACGTCGCCTGCGCTCACGTGACGAGGGTTAAATGCCCACCCTGCAGGAGCCCGCCCTGCAGACCTCGGTAAAGCCGCTCCGGGCCGCTCACCTGCTCCCGCCTCCCGAAGCCCTGGTCCGGCCCCTCCACCTGCCCCCTCCGCTGCCCGCCCCCTGAGCGGGCCCGCTCTGGGCAAGGAGCCGAGCCGGCGGGGAGGAGGAGAGGATGCGGCCGGTGGCAGCTGTCCCGAGCAGCGCACGGTGATCGCCTCCCCCGGAGGAGGAGGCGCCTAGACCGTTGCCACTTTTCTTGTTTTCCTCTCTCCCCCCCCTCCCCGCTCACTTCCCCGTAATTACATTGGCTGCTGGAGAGGACTGGGAGAGACGGAGGAGGCGCCTGGCTTCCTTCCGCGCGCCTGCCACCGCTGGTCGTTCCCGTCCCAGGCCAGGATGACTGGAGTCTTTGACAGTCTGGTGGCTGATATGCACTCGACCCAGATCACGGCCTCCAGCACGTACCACCAGCACCAGCAGCCCCCGAGCGGCGGCGGCGCCGGCCCCGGCGGCAGCAACGGCGGCAGCAGCAGTCTCCACAAGCCCCAGGAGTCGCCCACCCTTCCGGTATCCACAGCTACCGATAGCAGCTACTACACCAACCAGCAGCACTCAGCGGGCGGCGGCGGCGGCGGAGGCTCGCCCTACTCGCACATGGGTTCCTATCAGTACCACACCAGCAGCCTCAACAACGTCCCTTATTCCGCCAAAGGCGGATACGACCTGGGCTATACCGCTGCCTACACCTCCTACGCGCCCTACGGGACCAGTTCGTCCCCTGCCAACAACGAGCCTGGTATGCGTAACGATGGCGTGAAGGGGGCGAGTCGGTGACTAAGTTACTAAGTGGTGAGTTAGTTACTAAGGTGGATAGGATAAAAAGGATTAGGGCAAGAGGGCCGTCAGGAGCCCTGCTCCCTGCCGGCTCCGTGCACTCCACCCTCCCCAGCTGCCTCTGCAGCAGGTCACGAAACTGTGCTCGGCGCAGTTTGTGGGACTGGGTGCCCTCCGAGGCCGTGTGAGTGCGCGGTGCATGCCTCGGGCACCTCTAGTTTTCTTTCCACCTGCTTCTCCTTTCTGTCTGGCGTGCGCCTCTCCCCTTCCCTGGAAGATCCAACTGCCGGGTTCAGAGCAGGCTCCGACCCGCGCGTTGCGAATTGCGCCAGGGCTTGGCGCAGCTTCTCCAACAACCCGCCTTCTAGCTCAGGCCAGGTCTCCAGCAGGGCCCTGCAGGCCGGCGGGAGCTCTCGGGCCTCCCCGGGGTGCGTGGCTCTTACGGTTGCGTTTCGTTGCAGAGAAGGAGGACCTCGAGCCTGAAATCCGGATAGTGAACGGGAAGCCAAAGAAAGTCCGGAAACCCCGCACTATTTACTCCAGTTTCCAACTGGCGGCTCTTCAGCGGCGCTTCCAAAAGACTCAGTACCTGGCCCTGCCCGAGCGAGCCGAGCTGGCGGCGTCCCTGGGCCTTACCCAGACTCAGGTGGGGGCTCGCGGCCTGCGGGGGCGAGGAGCGGCCCGAAAGCAGACTGGTTCCTTGGAATGTTTTTAAAAGTAATTGTATGGATTTCTAGGCCCGCGCCTCGGGCGGCCTAGACTTCTAGGTCCGAAGCTGAAATCCCTCAGGGGGCCTCCGCATGGGAGGGAAGAAAGGGGACACTGTTGGGGCGGAAATCCAGTACCATGTTGTCTATCCGCGCGCAACTAATTAAGCGGGTAAAATAACCGGCCCTGCTAACCCCCTCTTGTTGTTGCCAGCCACACACACACACACACACACACAAAATCTTGGGCCTTTTGGGATGACCTGTCTCTGGTGCAGGTACAATCTGAACTCCCGAGACGGCCGCACTCGACCCTCTTACTCGCTTCCTCCTCCCCCCTGCCCTAGGGCAAGGTGCCTTCACTAAAGCTCTGGTCCCTTTTCCACAAAGGTCAAAATCTGGTTCCAGAACCGCCGGTCCAAATTCAAGAAGATGTGGAAGAGCGGCGAGATCCCCTCGGAGCAGCACCCCGGAGCCAGCGCGTCGCCACCCTGTGCTTCACCGCCCGTCTCGGCGCCGGCCTCCTGGGACTTCGGCGCGCCGCCGCGGATGGGGGGCGGGGGCGGCCCGGGCAGCGGCGGCAGCGGCGCGGGCAGCTCGGGCTCCAGCCCCAGCAGCGCGGCCTCGGTTTTCCTGGGTAACTACCCGTGGTACCACCAGGCCTCCGGCTCCGCGTCCCACCTGCAGGCCGCCGCGCCGCTGCTGCACCCGACGCAGACCCCGCAGCCGCATCACCACCACCACCATCACCACGGCGGCGGGGGCGCCCCGGTGAGCGCGGGGACTATTTTCTAACCCCACGGAGCCTGCACCAGAAACTGAGAAAGCAGAGACCATTTAGCCTCGGAGCTAGGCCCCCAGAGCCAGAGGCTTCTAGCAGGAGGGAGCCACTGCCACTACCCGCGCGCTCCAAGCCCCGATCCCTCGAGCGGCCACCGAGCGGCCGGGACCAGGGAGGTGTCTCCATGCCGCGTGCGCGGGCTCCTCTTGGGGGAGGCGAGCAGCGGTGGCTGGGCTAAGTCCGTAACCGGCGGCTGCAAGGCCTACCTGAGCCCCGGGCCTCAGCCGGTGGAGCCCCGCCTCGGCCTGGCCTCTGCTCCCCTCCCCCGACGAGTCCGTCCGGCGCCGTCCTCGCCCGGGGCCGGGAGCTGAGTCGGCGAGGGGGCCGCCTCCCCCGCCCGCGAGGCGTCGGGGCGCTCTGAGGCTCTTTTCTCCTCGCCCGCCCCCAGGCGCAGCTCAGTCGCTCGGGCTATTGACCTCCCAGGTCCCGCCTGCCCGCCGCCCCACGTGCCCCCGTGACCCGGGCGGCCCCGCCGCTTTTCTCCTGCCCTGCTGTTTGCAGCCTCAGAGCCCCCGCTCCGCCTTAGCGCTGCCCCAGGAACTCTTCCTTAGCTCTTTCCTCATCAATCACCAGTGGAGTTTTTTTATTTTTATTTTTTTAAAAGTTTAGGTGCCTTTGCGGATGACCTCATTTTGATGTTGGGGGGAAAAATGATTTTTTTAATATGTGGGCATTGCAAAAAAAAATGTGTTTAAATTATCTTTTTTAAAACCTATTCAGGATTATTAGCCTGGACTTCGACACGGAATTTATAAATAAAGGGATCTGTGCCGTCTTTCCCACTGATTTATTTGTATAAAAATATTCATCTTTGCAGACTTTTTTGTAAGCCTCCAGTTGTGAAACTGCGGTTTAGCAGTGACCTCAGCAACCTCTTTGTTTTATTTTTCCCCTTTCAAAAAAAAAAAAAAAATCTCAGTTAAATGAAGCTACTGATTTGGATTGGTTTGATCTTATCCTAAGGTCTTTGTTCTTGAAATAAAGGTATTTTGGGGTTATTTATTATGAAAACAACATGCTCTTAATGTTGATTTTACACTATGAAGAGATTATTTAAATAAATTATTGTTTTCATTGAATGTGTGCGCTTTTTCCTTGGGCCAGCGCTCTGTCGGTCAGGCGCTGGGAGCCGACGCCCCAGCCGGTAACCTGGTCACCCGAGACAACATACCTATCTTTCCGAGGCTTCGAGCGCGGTGAGGTGGGGAAAGGTGAGGGCCAGAGCATTTGGGGCGAGACCGCGGCAGTGAGTTCACGCTCCGCCCCTACCCAGCTCGGAGCGCGGGGTTCGCCAGCTCCCTGCGCGGTGAGTCACTCAGCACCCGGCGGCTCCAACCTCCGCCTGCCAGGCCTCTCAGGCGCCGGCGCCGCCGCCCCCGCGCCCGCCATGCTGACCAGGCCTTATTCGTAGAACACTGGGGGACCTCCAGTCCTGGGCCTGAGGGCTGCTGCAGCGAGGCACAGACCCCCACACGAAACACTTGTCTCCACTCACCAAGTGGCGATTGGGGGCGCCGACTGAGCCGAGAACTCAAGCCAGTCACCCAGGCAATCTGGAAGCACGGTTGGTTGCTCTGAAATTCAGGGCAACCTCAGCACACGGGCACACATTGACACTTGCACTTACACTATTACACACTCCCACACACTGACATGCACAGTCACATTCAAGCTCTCATACATTCACACACTCAGGCACACACAATGACAGTCACACATACACTCACATTCATAACCATATGCAGACTAACAAATTCATGTACACTCACACATTCACACACAATCTCACATACACTGATACACAAATGCACACATCACACTCACACAGAGACTGATGCATATAGTTCTATCAGAATGGCATCCTTTGACCTCACACTCTGGAAGGAGAAAGGTCTACTCAGTGTTCAGCTTTGCTTTCCACTTGGGCCCCACCCAAGGGGCTTCCAACTTTGGAAATGACCCCACTTTCTGGCATTGCCAGCAAAGGCCAGAGGTAGGTGGCTAATGGAGGCCTAAACCAAGAGTCCCTGCCTTGAGAATGTTGGAGTGTACCGTTAAAAGCTTCCTAGCTTCAATCACTGACTAGCTGTGTGACCCTGGGCAACCCACTTAACCTCTCTGTGCCACAGTTTCCACCCACAAAATAGGAAAAATCATGACAGCTATCTCCCAGAGTTGTGAGCATCTAAGTTATGCAATGATGTAACATAGCACTTAGCACATAGTATGTACTCAATAAATTTTAGCTATTAGTAGTATTGTTGTATTATCACAGTGCCACCAAACCGGGAGGTTTCACTTTTGCCTGCGACTACGAGGCACAGTTAAACAGAAGCCTTTGCGATTGCATCGTGTGTAGATGAGCAGCACTCGGACTGGGAGAACTCTGGCCCTTTTCTTGCTTGGGAACCTGAACCTCAGCCATCCTCTTGGAAATGACCAGACTGCTGGGTTGGGGGCAGCCCAGAGAGCTCTGCTTGCCACATCCTGGCTTCCTCTCCTCTACTATGGTTATCCAGACCATCCTTGTTGTATGTGTTCAACTCATCTCTTTAAAAAAAAAAAAAAGGCATGGGGCTGGGTGACTTTCTGGGCTCTGTGGCATCATCCTAGAGGGAATCCTGATTTTTTCTGGGCAGACTGATTTGGGGCCTGCACGGAGTGTTGCTCGCACAGCGTATGGTCCATGGAGTTGGGGCCCTGGGGATGGCAGAGGGGCTACACAAATGGAGCCTCCGCTTGCACTCGTGCACTGCTTTCCAGGCCAGGGCGGCCTGGGCTGAAGCCCATTGACCTCCGATTCTAAGCAGCCGCTGCCTGGCAGACCCTCTATGCTTGCCCTCCCCCAGTTCCAAATTCCGTGGTTTCTTTGAGTGCCAGTAGCTGGTGCCAGCTTCCTCCTGCGGTTGACTGCGCCCTCCCTTCTTCTGCGCGCACTCCCAACCCCCCTCACGAAACCAGCGGCGGAGAGACGGGGCAGTAAATTGGCTGGTGTCGAGGATCTGCAGCAGACAAGATGATTAAGAGGCCTACGCCGGAGGGCCTGGGGCAGGGAATGTCAGCCCAAGTTGGAATCACGCAACAGGCCTTGGCATGAACCGAGCCTGGGAGCCGGGAGGGCGGGCGGCCCCAGCTCCGGGGTGGGCCGAGGCCCCACAGACTCGCCGGAGTCACCGAACCTGGCACCAGGCGGCGACAGGGTCGGGCTGGGCCATGGCGCGCCCTTCCCCCGGGAGCCAGCGAGGCTGAGGGCTGGAGGGTGCAGGGGCCAGAGGAAGGGGCGTTTCCGCAGACGAGGATCTAAGCAAAGAGAAGGGAGCGTGAGGACGCGCCCGGGTCCCAGAAGTGAAGGGGCGGGGAGAGGGAGGGGTGGGCGAGGGCAGAAACAAAGCCGGGCTGGGGGCTGCGGGCTGGCGGAGGCGGGGGCAGGCTTCAGCCCCGCGAGGGCAACTCGCTGGCAAGCGTTTCTCACAGACTGGCCCGCCAGGAGACGCGAAGCCCTGTGATCAGCCCGCCGCCGGGTAGACACGCTCCCCCCGCGCCAAGCTGCGCTGCCGAAAGCGCAAATGAAAAATGGAAATGGGAAGCGGCGATCTGAGCTCCCTACACTGGGAAAGCAGCCGCGCTCGGAACGCACATAAATCTTCATTGTAATCCCCTTCCACTTGCTCACGTGAAATATCAGGCCAGAGACAGGATATGACAAGCGCTGGGAAGCAGGGAGGAGGGAAGCCGAAGATTGAGGGGTGACCGGCCCTCCCCATTCCTCTTTCTGGCAGGGCTGCTCGGGTCTCGGGCGGAGCGCGGCCCTGAGTCCCTGGCCCGCCGCGCGCCTCCCGGGCGTGCCTGCATTCCCTAGGTTCCCGCCTCCGCGCACACCACCCTCCCGCTAGCCCAGCTTCCCGCCGCCGCCCTGGGACTTCAGAGCTGGGGAGGGCAGAGAAGAAAGGGAACGGATCGCGGGCCTAATCAGCGCGGCTGCAATCTGGGACCGTTTAGGAGGCTTCCCTTCGGCCTTCTTTCAGGATTACTTGTGAAAATTGTGAATATCCGCCCTGTGTAAGGAGTTCCCAGACTGGTGGGCTAGTTGGGGGAAGTATCAGAGAGCGCGGGAAGACTGGAGCTTTGTTTACAAACAACTCTGCGGTAGGACACCAAGGTGGGGGAAGGGAGAGGGAACCAGTGCCCTCTGCTGTGAAGAGCACCCCTCTCCCCAAAAGAGAGTAACATCCAGGAGCAGAAAACCCACTTGTGTTTAAATTAGTCCTTACGGCAAGTAAAACCTAGGCGCAACTCTCTACCCCCTACCCCAGCACTCTCGCAAAAGTCACAAGCCTGCTTCTTTCCCTCCAGGGAACAGCGACCACCCGCGTGTTTTAACTTGTCAGTTCCCCTTTGGGAATAAAGCTACAAATCTTCTCTTCCTCCTAAAATATAGGCAGACTTCTTCGTGTAAGATTTTGTGGTCGGGAGTAGGAGACGCAGGTGGGTGGGGCGCGATCCTGGGCCCTGGTTACGCACGCCCCTGATGTTGGGCAACTAGGCTCTCCTGAGGCTGGAGGCTTCTCTCAGGGTCGTGACATCCACAGCAGCCCCTGGGGAACCTCCTCGCACCAGGCCGGTCCTCCCCGCCTGGGATCTGCCCAGCAAGCTACCCCCATCGGAGCAGACGGATGCGGAGGTCCTCAGCCCTGGAAGGCCCCCCTGGCGGAAGTTCCCCTTGCGGGGACAGGTTTGGCAGTGATTGCCACATTACAAGATGTTACATTCCGCCCTGGGGCCTGGGGCTGGGCGAGGCGGGGGCGACAATGTATCTTGAAAAGAAAGAGCAGGCAAATCTTGAAAGAGCAGCCACTTGGCGCCTCCACGGGAGAACGCACGCGGTCTCCAGACAGACCTTTCTTCCAGGGCCAGCTCTCTCCTCTCGCCCTACAGGGCCAGAGCGCAAACACTGCAGAGACCCGGCAGTTTGCGGGCTGAGAGGCAGGGCTCCCAGGGTTCTCCGGAGGCCCGTTTTTGGGATACCCA